ATATATATATGTATATATATATATATATATATATATATATATATATTCTAAGTGAATCAAAGAAAAACAGCTATAGGCCTGCACATTCTTTTTTATTATAAAAACGTATTACCAGGTTCCCTGGTATTACCTTTTAATTCATTGATCTTCAGCTGCTTTAAATGTATTTAAATCAGCATATATTATATTGAAATTTTATAGAATGTCAACGTATAGGGAATTTTTACTGATAAAAAACATCAGCGCGTTGACAGCTTGCTTACAGTATGTACGCTATATAAGAATGAACTATTTCTATTATCGCTATCATCAGCATCGTCGTCGTCGTTGTCCTCTGACATTCCATGTAATACCAGTTCTCGGCATTTGACAAGAGTTTTTTCTATATTGTATTGATTTTTTTGTTGAATGATTTTGTTTTCAATGCTTTTCTTGGCACTGTAATCCCTATAAATATAAGAACAGATTTTTGGATTCAATATGGTCATGTGAAGAATGTCCGATTCATTTTACGAAGCTAGAAATTGTAGGCCTACAAACAATAAAATAAGGTTTTTACAAGCAAACATTTTCGATTATAATATGTACTCTATATTATATTAATTCTTGTGGTACACACGTAGTACACACGTTCTAGGAACTGTTGTTTGTTGAGATATTATTCTCATAAAGACGATTGAATCAACTCGTCGAACTGTTACGAAATTCTCAAGAAGCAAAACAATTCTTTTCAGAACTGCAGGCGCGTAACAGGGTCCTGGGTCGGGGGGGGGGGGTAATCATTTTCCCGGTTAGTAATTTATGACCCGGTGTGATACCCCACCATTCCCCCCACCCCATATAGAAAACAATACGACATAGGGCTTATCTTATTTAAAATATCGGCCACACACGTGTGTTTGAAACTAAATATAAGCATTTTCATCATGCTTTTATTTATTACAAATATATTCCTTCACTTTTAATACACATTAAGGCCCTTCTTTTAGGTAAAACGATCTATAAAGAAATGTTCTTTCTATTGGAGCTGGGCCTATTATGTGTTCAATTAACTTGGAAGGCAAAGGAGGACAAGCACAAGCTCTTACCCTCAAAAGCTTATGTTATATATGGCCACACACTATTTTTGAAACTGAATATAAGCATTTTCATTATGGCTTTATTTATAACAAACATATCCTTACACCATCAGTACACATCAAGGCCCTTCTTTTAGGTAAAACGATTTATCTTAAATTTTCTTTCTTGAGTTTGGGACTATTATGTTTTTAAATAACTTAGAAGGCAAAGGAGGGCAAGCACAAGCTTTAACCTTAACACATGCACGCGAAAAAAATTTGTGTTTTTAATTTTAATGTCGTCCGAGTTGATCAAAACTCCCTAAAATGTGCAATTTTTAGAGGAAATTGGCCTACCTCAACTAGAAATGCGCGCGAAGCGCGCCAAATTTGAGATTTTCAGGCACCTTCCTGGTGAAAAGTGCATCTTCAATGGGGAACGAATTTCCACAGATGAATATTTTTCCCTTGTCCCCCGGTGGTTACGCCACTGCGGAGAATATCTGGCGACTTAGATCAAATGCGCTATATGGACACTTTTGTGATATCTGTTCATATGATATCTTCCTTTTTATTCTTTTCTTTATTTTTCTCTTCTCTTTTTCTTTTCCTTTCCTTTTCTTTCCCCTTCTTTCTCTTTACCTCCCTCTCCCCTCTTTCTTTTCTCTTCTTACCCAGACCGGTACGACGGCTTGGTCAGCCCGGTAAAAACCGTCAAGGGGGGGGGGGGGCAGTATTGTGGCCTAAAAGCGCCTTGAGACGGGGTTTTCGATCAGGTGAAAATAAAGATACACCTGAGCACAAGAGATGATATAATTTTAGTAAGCTAAGCCTGCAGGCCGAATAATTTCGCCTAGGTGTGGCTAGTCTATAGTTAGACTAGGGCCTACTCTAGAGCCTAGGCCTACTATTACTATTATTAAATTATGAATAGAAGAAGTCCTAGCTACCAACCATAGCTAGGCCGACCCCCGGTCTCGAATGCGGGTAGATTCGGCTCTATATGGCAGCCTTCCCCATACCATAAAATAGTGCATAAGATAACGAGACTGAAGTTTTAAGTTTAGGTTCAAGCCACCTCCACCAAACAACCAATCAATCAATCAATCAACACCTTTAATTGATTTAACACCTCGCGACAATGTCCAAGGGGCTATTTTTTTGTTACATTTTTGGTATTTGATTCAAGAAAAGAAAATATTCCTCATGCCTAGCTGGGCTAGGCCTATTTTCCGTATGCTGTATTTTACGTACAAGAGGGTATTCCAATGTAGGCCTCTATCTATCTATCTATCAAAGTAGACAATAATTCCTCACAAAGACTATTCAGCAGACACCAAAAGAATATCTACAAAGAGGTCTCTTAAAATATAATGACAAGGTAACCATAACAACCACTCATTCAACATCGTGCGGAACACGGATATGTGCTAATAATAATCCATTCACACAATCGATGCCTCTTTTTATTACACACACACACACACATATATATACATATATATATATATATATATATAT